TACATCCACAAACAAAGTTAGAAAAATTCACTAGTGCACGCAACCTCCTCCGATCGCACCTCCACACGAGTTTGTAAAGGAAATTGGACTCCTAATATTTGTTTCCTCAGCTTACCTATGACGCTTCAATCTGATCAGAGGGAGAGTCAATTAAGATTTGATACAATTAAGAAAAAAATAAAATAAAACAAAGTGTCCCGTTAAGAGTATCTTAATTTAACAGGTAGCCATTTGATGAACTTCATTTAAGGAACAATTTTCCCGCAGAAGCCTTTACTTGTCACCAATTCGGGAATGAACATCTAAACACAATCCCCTGGTATGTAACAACTTTATACGACACTGCATGTAAGCTTTTCCACACTACGAATATATTGGGAATTTTTCGCTACGGCAAGCGTGACTTTCCGTTTCAGCTTCTAAGAAACGATATCTTCCTTTCTCGGAATTCAATAATCATTGTTATTTGTGGAAAGGAAGTTGTAAGGATTACTTTATAATCTACTGCGACACTAGAACACTGCAACCCGATGGACGCTGTCACATGCGGTTAGATTATATTAACAAACCGAATTTCATTTTTCCACCAGTAAGGAAGTGGTTAACTTTTAAATTGTAAACTTTGGGTCCACTTTGAATGGCGTAATAACACGGAGATTAAAACTACGACGTGTCATATGATCCCTTATATGTAGAACGTAGGCTTTAGAAGTTTGAACACAAATGTTACTTTACTGAGGTTTCTGTTTACTGTGTTGCGTTGTGCATGCATTTCCGGAAATATCTCTGGGGAAGGGTGGTGAGCTAAAAAAAGAGAGGATTAAAAGACCAATTACAGTATCTCACTTCAAATTGGAATTTTTTTTTGGCAGATCTGGAATTTGGAACGTTGATTTCAGTCACTTAAAGCGCCAGAGCAGAAAACACGTACCCCTTAATGCACTTCACGTGATTTGTATTTAGCAGATAACGAAACCGTACTTAGCCAAAGATAGGAAAAAAATGTCTGTTATGGTGGCTGTGCATAGTTAAATAATGACAACACATCCACATAATCAGATCGTAATGAAGATTTATTTAGCTGAGCGCATTACAGAGTTCTACAAAATTCTGAAAAGCCACGAGGAATGACATTGATATCATAATATGCCAAAAAACTCCATCGCATAAAGTTTGTGAATACAACTCATTTCTTTCCAGCAGAAAAACAAACCGGCTCAATAGAGCAGGGCTCAGAAAATGCTGAATATGGAGGAGGAAGTTCGTCGGCACTAGCTCCATTTTGTTGTGAAGAGACTCCAGCTTCAACGCGGATAACGATCTCGGAGTAATTACCCGGATGAGTTCTTGTATCCGATCTTAAAAATCTGAAAATTATGTACATCAGCAAGCAGAGTACAAAAAATCCAGCGGTGAAACTTCCCCCAATCAAACCTCCGCTTGAATGTGCCATAGAATTGGATTGCAAAAAGTTGTCTTTTCTGCGGCTCACCTCTTACACTCCAATCTAATCTATTAGGGAGATTAAAGATTAAATGTAGATTTTTATTCAATTAAAGAAGTACCGTGCGGAGTATTATAATTTAACAATTGGCCATTTCCTGAGCTTCGCCTAAGCAACCGGAAATTTTCCCTTCGATGCCTATCCCATATTCAGAGTTGAACATCTGAAAACCAATTAAAGAGCAACAAAAAGGCAGAAACCAACTCAAAACCTCGATATCAAAGCTCAGCATCCAATAAATGCTTAGAGCAGATTTGCATCTTAGACCGTGTAATCTTGTGCGATTTTAATTGTTTCGTCACTGTGGATGATGAATCACTTGTAGACTTTAGAGTTTCTTTTGTTTCCACTAAGTGAAAATCTCTTAGGTTTGATTTTGCAACTGCTTATCATACCCTCGTTCACAACATCTCGATAGAACACCGCATGCAAACTGTAAAGTCCGCGAATATTTTATGGAATATTTTGATAAGGCAAATACAAGCCCCGTTTTAGCTTCTAAGAAACGAAATCTTCCTTTCTCAGAACTGACCAAAGGATGTCTATCACGGAATAGAAGTTGTCACTGTAACCATAGGCGAGACATGACGAATAAACGCTGTCACATACGGTTGGATTGTGTTCACAAAACGGATTTCGTTTTTCTATCGATAACGGAGAAGTGAACATGATGATATTCAAATTGCAAACTTTAGGTCTCACTTTGAACTGACCAAAGAAAGGGTTATTAAAAATTGAAAAAATTCTATGACCTTCTATGTGTAAGCAGGCTCTGGTTTCTGTTTACTTAGTTGTGTTCTCTGTTGTTAATGAAGTCGTTCGCCCTTTTGCATAACGTGAACTTGCTTAATCTTTTGCAGCGGATTAGTAAGAAAGGTAAAAAAAACGCAAATATATACTTAAAATACAGTTTAGATGGATAATTAAATCCCTCTTGGTTAAACAAGACTTAAATATTCGTTAGACTTCAACTCAATATGTCAATTTGATATTATCATTGTTATCAAATAACAATGAAGCTTTGACAAAATATGCCTCAGGTAACAAAATGGCCACGAAAAGCTTTGAATAATACTTGTTTTCAACGGTTTATATAGAAGATGT